TGAGTATTTTGCTCCCTTCCCAATTCCAGTTGAAAATTTTTTGATCAGGCCAGTAGATTTCATTTACAGCACATTCTTCTTGACGTGCATGAGGTGAGTGCAGCATTTTTCTTTCTAAAAGCTCTTTTTTTTTCAGCTGTGAGAAACTGTGAGGTCAGAAACTGAAACCTGCTCTTCCACATCCTCTGTGTAGCTGGCTCTAAGTTACAGGTTTCAACTGGTAGTAGCAATGAAAAATGTCACCTGTGCTCTTTAGTTCTCCCTTTTTCCAGAAGGAGTTTTACTTTCTCGAGTTAGTTAGTAGCTTGATATTGTTGGCATTCATTCAGCCTGTAACTTAGTTCTCTCACCATCCGCTTAGCACTAGTGTCCAGTCCTGATTACAGGCCTTTAATAAATCTCTATCCTAAGGACATTGCTTCAAAAGTTTTATTTTAGAGAAAATATACATTTTGTACACAGTGCACATCACTGGCAAATCTGAAAACATTTTGTTCATTCATTCCTCTTATATTGGTTGAACACCTTCTGTGTGCAGTTACTGTGAGGTACTTTGGATAGAGAAGTAGGCCAGACTATATATATATATATATTTGATTTTTTACAGAGAGGAAGGGAGAGAGATAGTCAGAAACATCGATGAGAGAGAAACATCGATCAGCTGCCTCCTGCACACCCCCCACTGGGGATGTGCCCGCAACCAAGGTACATGCCCTTGACCGGAATCGAACCTGGGACCCTTGAGTCCGCAGGCCGATGCTCTATCCACTGAGCCAAACCGGTTAGGGCAGTAGGCAAGACTTTTAAAAGTCTCTGTTATAGCTTCCTATTGCTGCTGTAACAAATTACCACATGCTTAATGGGCTAAAACAATACAGCTTTATAATCTTACTGTTCTGGAGGTGAAAAATATAAAGTGAATCTGCAGAGCTAAAATGAATGTTGGCAGGGCTGGGAGCTGAGGAAATTTATTCTTGCATCTCTCAGCTGCTAGAGGCTACCTGCATGCTCTGCCTCACAACTCCGCATTTCCCTGACCTGTTTCCATTGTTACATCACCTTCCCTGACTTCATCCTTCTGCCTGCCTTTCCAAAAATCCTTTTGACCACAGTGGATCAACCTAGATATTTCAGAGTAGCATTTCCATCTCATGATCCTTAAGTTAATCCACTTGCAAATTCCCTTTTGCCATATAAGGTAACGTATTTGCAGGTTTTGAGGACTATAACATGGACATTTGGGGGGAGCCATTATTCTGATTCCTATAGTTTCTATACTCTTGTTTCTATTCTAGTGAAAAAGTGTTAGTAGTAGATAGTCTGAGTCCATCAGATTTACTTTTTCTGATGAACTGTTAATATTTCACATCTGCATTACAATTTGAAATATGTTAAATTAGATTTAAGACAGTGGTTCTCAACCTTGGCTGCACGTTAGAATCACCTAGGAATCTTTTTAAAATCCTGATTTCTGGGCTGCATCCTCAGAAATTCTGTTTCTTTGTTATGATGTGGGGCCACAACATTAGTAACAAAGAAACAGAATTTCTGGAGGATGCGGCCCAGAAATCAGGATTTTAAAAAGATTCCCAGGTGATTCTAATATGCAGCCAAGGTTGAGAACCATTGTCTTAAGATGTGGGCAGTTTTTCTAGAGATATCAGTATGTAATGAAAAAACCTAACCAGTTTAATTCATGTTTTAAGTAGTAGAAACCTATAGAACTATCACTGCCATAAAAAACATCTTAAAAAATTTTAAATGCCAACTTAAAAAAAATCATCAAAATGGACAGAAATACAAATATAAGAGTCCCAATAATTTCTAATCAGGAAAAAAACATTTAGAAAAACTGCTTAAAATCCTAGAGTAAACCTAATTAAGGTGTTTGGAGTGGGAAAATAATCTATAGTGAGGATCTGGTTTGTCTTTTTATATAGCTTTTTTGTTCATAAACAGTACAGAATGGCCAAGAACATTTTTAACCATTAATTACTGTGATGTAAAAATTGTATAGCCCTGGCCAGGTAGCTCAGTTGCTTAGATTGTCATCCTGGTATGACAAGATTGTGGGTTTGATCCCCAATCAGAGCACATACAAAAATCAACTAACAAATGCATCAATAAGTGGAACAACAAATCTTCTCTCTTTCTCTCTCCCTTTTCTTCTCTCTCCCCCCTCTCTCTAAAGTTAGTAAATTAAAATAATTGTATAAATATAATATTAGAAATCCTCAAAACATGAATGATTTTAAAAGATGTTGAACATATTATAAAACCAAAAAACTGGTTGAGTTTGTGTAGATTTTTAAGAAATTTCCTAAAGTTTTCTTCCCGGATATGTCATATTGCTCACTATCATTGCTAATAAGTTTGGGGTTTTAAGGGTCTGAGAGCAGATGAAAGTGGGAAAATGGATGAGTTTCTAACAAGAGGTATTTATATTCTCTATTTTATAATGATAACGTGGGAATAGTTTGTCAAAATATCTTACTTTTTAGTGCACCAACAGTCAGATCAGAAGAATCTGATGAAAATGGACAGCCTTTCCTATTTCTTTCTGTACTGCAAATTAAAGTTAGGAGTTTTGGGCAGCTGTCATGCTTGTAATTGATTGCTAAAGATACAAAGCTGAAGGAAGCACAAGCATGCATTGAAGGTGATATTTACACTCCAGCCTGTGATTTGAACTTTTAGAAACATAATCTTGGGGAAAATCTTGTTACAGTCTCTTGAAAAAAGTTTTGTAACCTAAAAGGTAAAAAATTATATTCAGCTTCATAAAAATGTCATTAATCTTACTTGGCTGAAATGTTATGCTGATATCAAATTTCTACTTTAAAATGAAAGGCCCAATACTTAACCACTAGTAAGCTTCTAGATTTCTAATTTCAAAGAGAGTTTTCTTAGCTTCTGGAACAACCTGAAGCCTATAGGCTTTAAAGTCCATATCCATGACCAGAATGAATCCCTCCCTCCCTCCCTCCCTCCCTCCCTTTCCTAATGTCATTACTTACTTGGCTGAAATGTTATGCTGATATCAAATTTCTACTTTAAAATGAAAGGCCCAATACTTAACCACTAGTAAGCTTCTAGATTTCTAATTTCAAAGAGAGTTTTCTTAGCTTCTGGAACAACCTGAGAAG